TTAGTATACATGTGTCGTGTGTTGATAAATAACTTATCAGCTGCTATTCTTTACACAGAACCTAGATGACAGTGTGTTTTCAAAGCGGCATGCAAAACTGGAGCTGGATGAGAAGAGAAGGAAAAGGTGAGGCTAGAGATGTTCATCCAGTGAACCACTGAGCCCTGAGACTCCGACACCTCTCTCATCCATGCTGTGGAGAACCTTAGAGCTCTTACCACTCTTAAATTACTGGCTTTCCATTTGGTTGAGTGTCTTTGTTTGAAATGGTACTTGTAGGTAAAATGTTTGGCCTTTTTCTTTGGGAATGCCCTTCCTCGGTTCTACTCTTGGTGGAACACCAACATGTGATTTGGATTGCTAGACCTAAACAGTCTTCCCTAACCAGGCGGGCAGTGCTCTTTAACATTGCCCACCCCAGCCCCCTAACCCCAATCAAGAAAAGCCAGCCAAGAACTTCCTAACACTTGGATTGTGTGAGTTGCTTTTATAGAGCAGGTTTTCAGTAATGTTGGGTTTGTTTGTTTTGTTTGTCTGGTTTGTTTTTCCCAGATGGGATATTCAGAGGATCAGGGAACAAAGAATTTTACAGCGATTGCAGCTCAGAATGTATAAAAAGAAAGGAATTCAGGAATCTGAGCCTGAGGTTACCTCATTTTTCCCTGAGCCAGATGATGGTAAGTTTTGTGTATCTCAAAGTAGATTTTTTTTTTTTTAAGGATAAAAAGGGTGTAAGGCTCCAGGTTACAGCTTGCTCTGAATGAATAAACAATATGTTGGAGCAGGTATAGTTGCCAGACATTTCTCATCTATGTCACTAACAAGGTTGCATTTGGCTTTCTTCCATAGTTGAAAGTTTGATGATTACACCCTTCTTGCCTGTTGTAGCATTTGGACGACCGTTACCAAAATTAACTCCACAGTAAGTATAAAGGGTTCTTTTTCCCCTCCCCTCTCAGGTAGTCAGCACTTCACCTCCCTTTTCAGACTGCATGTAAGCCTAGATATAAGTGGAGCCGGTGGCTTAGGGATAGCCATGGTTCTTTGACGGAAGAAGTGAGCCTACCTGGACAACTGGTTTTTACAGTGGTAAGATTCCCAGGCCTGGAATCTTAGGAGGATTGCTATATAAGTTAGAAATAGATTATTCAATCAGTTCAATAGCATAGTATTTCTCTAGCTTTGAGACAGGAAAGGCATTCCAAACTTGGGACTTGGGAGTCAGGGCAGGGAGTGGTGAGGGCCATTGTGTCTTTTTTGGAGTTACTGTCATGCTCACACTGAATCCCTATAGTCTTGGAAGTTGATTTCTTTATCCTTTTTTGCCAGCAATTTTGAGCTGCCCTGGTTGGATGAGCGTAGCCGATGCAGGTTGGAGATCCAGAAGAAGCAAACACCTCACCGGACTTGTAGGAAATAACTGTGTTGGCAAGAACCTTCTGTCTTCAGATAGTTGTAGCATGCCATTCCCAGAGAGTGGCAGAGACCTGTATATGTGACCTGTGTCCTTAACGTATGTTATCATTCACTGATAGTGCCCTCCCATACTCCCTTGATCTTGGTTTTGTTTTCATCACTCTGATTTCACAAAATCTCTTTCATCAGGCTAATTGTGAATTATAGAGGGTGATTGGGATATCTTTTCCTCTTTGGGGAAAATGAGCCCTCAAGCTAAATCTCTAGGATGGCAGATGTGGAAGCTTCCGGGATCTGCCTCTGTACGTTTGCCTATGTTAAAGGGGTAAAAGGGCTCTTTCATTAGACTTGTGGAAGATAAAGCATCCCCTGCCTTTGGATCTGTGCTGCATGGCACTCTTCTCGCCCTGGTATACCCTTCCATATAGATTGAGTGTAGTGGTTTTTACCCTATACGAAACAAAATGAAGAAAAACCTCACCATAAGCTTAAGGACTAGATGAGGAATAATAAGTGAAGTGATGGAGCAAGTCATCTTCACAGGGTAGAAGAGATTGGCGAGTTTGGTTGATAAATGTCTGAAAAGGCAGTTCTGCCTATGGCCATACCACCCGGAATGTGCCCGATCTTTACTAAAAAGGTAGTTCTCTTAAAACTATTCTGTGATAAGGCCATGTGGGAAGGGATGTTTGGCTATGATTGTATTTTTAGTTAATGGGTAACTGAATTTCTTCCCCTACCCTTCAAAAAGTAACATTTTAGGAAAAGAGAATGGGGATGGTTAATTTTGGACAAGTTATGGCTCTAAATGAAAGCAGTTGGCATTTGGGGATGGCATGCCAGAACCTGCGTAGATGTCCTTGTGTCCATCACTTCTCAAGTATTCCTTTGGTGGGCAATATCCTCTTAGCTGAGCTCTTGGTGATGGGATAGAGATTTAGGGAAGGTGGGAGGGTGTATGTGGAAATATGTGCTTCCTCTGGCTGGCAAATGTCTACATCTTGAAACAAACAGATGTACCTAATGAGCTTCTCCACTCACTTTGTAAAAACAGATTTGTATGTGTACCACCTTGGTCCACCACCACCACCACCGCACACACCCCTTTCGTTAAAAAAGGTCAGGACAGCACTCCAGGCCACTTTGGTCTCAGTGTAAGATCCCTGTAACTATCTGGAAGGAAAAGAGAGCCAAGACTTCTGGTCTTAAATATACAGGAATTGCCTTTCTTTAGTCTTTAGGACTATTGTGTGAAAACAAGTAGGGGCCTAATCTCCTAGAAGATAGGGGCTTTTATCCTTGAAGAGAATGTCCCCAGATTATTAGCACTTTTAGAGGAGAAGCCAAGGTATGTAGGGTGTGTGGCCGGCCCATCGGTGGAGCGAGCATGAGAGAATGGGATACCATTGTGGGAAGAAACGACAAGTTCCTCAGGGGCCTCCCACTGCTAAAGCTTTTGTGAGTTGTTGATCTGTGCTCCCTGGGTTTGACTTTTAAAAGGAATTATTCCGGCAGCACATATAGTATTCTTGGATGATCTTGCTGCTCTTATTTCTGTGTGTGTGTGTGTGTGTGTGTGTGTGTGTGTGTGTGTGGCTTTGGGTTTTCATTTGTAACTCCATCTCTTAGGAGAGTGGACTCTCCGCAAGGGAACCTGCTGTGAACTTCATTGCAGCAAGAATGTAGAGAGAAATAGGACTTACTCCACTAGGGGCTGTCATCTCACACCTTAAGTAAAGGAAGATTTCTAGAAAAACTGGGCCAGATTGTCCACATTCTCCATCATTTTAACATGGCAAGTTGTTTGGCTTTCTTACTCTGATCTATGTTGTTTCTTTATAACGTGCCCAAGCAGAAAAAAGACCAGTCAGTGTCTCTTTTACTTTGTTCCTTGATTCCTCTCAGTTTCTCCTTGATTTTCAGCATTTGTTGGATTCCTACTTTGGATATGGGTTAGCAAATTAACCTTTTTTTTTTGTGCCCTACCAAGGTGACTCCTCAGCTCCTGAACTTGAGCTAGACTAAGAAGAATCCATGAGGTGCTATCAGGCCAGACTTAAGTGGATTCTATTTCGTTGGTTCTCCCTCTTCCTAGAACCTCTTACTTTATTGTTCCCTTTTCTAGATTCTCCTTTGATTTGGATACATTGAGGCTTGTTGATAAGGAGGTTGGAGAGTAGATTAGCAAAGTTCCAAGAATGAAATTACAGTGTGTTAGGGTGTGGGGGGAAAATTAGTCTTATTTTTTTCCCTACATGGGGTACAACACTGTGAAATTAAATCTTCAACTGAAGGTCCTGCAGTTCTCTTAAAACATAGTCCTTTGTTTCTTTCTTTAACAAAGTTTAAGCTAGTGTTAATAAATTAAAAAGAAAAATTGCTTGTCTGTCCACTTCACCTTTGTTTTAAACCAATTTCATATTGTTGTCTGTGTTGTAATTCATACTTTTGATACCATTTCTGATGTGTAAAATTGGTTGTCTTGTAAATATCTTATAAAGAGTTCAATTGTAAATAAACTATTGTGGCTGTTAATTTTTGAACTTCTGCTTCAATTTATTTCATTGGGAAGCATCAAACAATTCTATTTGTAGAGCTTTTTTAAAGATTTTATTTGTTTATTTTTAGAGAAGGGAAGGGAGGAAGACAGAGGGAAAGAAACGCTGGTGCCAGAGATGTCAATCATTCGCCTCTCCCTGGCCCCGCAACTGGGGACCTGGCCTGCAACCCAGGCATGTGTCCGGACTGGGAATCGAACCGCCGACCCTTTGGTTCACAGGTCGGTGCTCAGTGCACTGAGCCACACCCTCCGGCGTACAATAATATACAATAATGCAAGAATGAACTGTCACGTACTCACGACCTGTAAACCTATTTTTGCCGCACCCTGTACTCAGATTTCTTTTTCATTGGGGACAGATGCCTTGCCCAAATCAGAGCATTCCCTCACCTGGTTAACAAAAAGGAAAATCGTGTCAGTATATTGAATCACCACGGTCTCGAATCATCTCTTCCAAAATCTTGGTGAGATGAGACTAGCGTCACACCAGGCGGCACTTTGGGGGAGGTGATGCAGCTGGGGCGGGGAGGCACGAAGAGAGAAGAGGAAATGGAAACGGGAAAATGCTTCGACACTGAGTCCTCGGGCTTCGAGGCAGACAACTGGTTTTGGCGTCCCTCTTTAGCTTAAAATGGGATGGTGTGGCAAATCTGATGCCGCAGGACTTTAAAGGTTTACCTTGATTCGTGATTTACTAAACAACTTCAGTAAAATGATTTGCCTCAAACGTAATCAGAAGCCAGCAACTGAAAAATGAAACCACGAACAGCTCCAATGCCGCAGCGAAGCTGTGACAGGTCGACGCCTTCCACTCGGAAAGCTCAAGATGGCCGGGCAAGGAGCCTAAGGCGGCTGCCTACACACAGAACCCCTCGCCCGGAGCCTAGCCTGAGGAAGTCAGGGCACGCGCCACGCCCCCCTCGCGTAACCGATGACGTAATCCCGCTCGTCCGCATACGTGCCGCAGGGCTCCAGACCCGCCCCCAACCCTCTATCTCCCGAAAAACCAACCGATCAGTGCCGTACGTGAAGCATGCCGGGACTAGCTTTCTAGCCTCCCAGCAGCCCCTGCGACGGGCGTACGTAAGGAACTAGCTGGCTACGGCGGTTCTCCGTAAGATGGCGGACCGGCGGCGGCAGCGAGCTTCGCAGGACACAGAGGACGAAGAGTCTGGTGCTTCCGGCTCAGACAGCGGCGGTTCCCTGGCGCGGGGCGCCGGGGGCTGTAGCAGTAGCGCTGGAGGCAGCGGCAGCGGCTCTCTACCTTCCCAGCGCGGAGGCCGAGCCGGGGCCCTCCATCTGCGGCGGGTGGAGAGCGGGGGTGCCAGGAGCGCTGAAGAGTCTGAGTGTGTGAGTGCGCGCGGGCGGAGTGGGCCGGGCCGGGTGGCTTGCGGGCCTGGGGGCGTGGTGTAGGTGATGAGGGGAGGCTGCGAGCTGGTAGTGGTAGATGCTGAGGCATATAGTGTCGGAGAAGAGCCTGGTTATCCAGTTGCAGTTTCCGTCCAGAGCTCCGAGGGAAGAGGAGGGGTTGGGGGTTTCTGGGAGGAGTGCAGAGCCGCCGCGGATGGACAGCGAATGTTTTATCCGGAAGCCAGGGACCGTATCTCCCTTGGAGGCTACTTGATAAAGATGTGCCATTCCTCATTTCCCTTTTTCACCGTTTTGTATTGAGTCTTCAGCTCTCCACCCTCTGGAAATTACAAAACTAACCCATGACTTCTTTCCTTCAGGAGAGTGAAGATGGCATCGAGGGCGATGGTGAGTAGCATCCTCTTGAGTTTTTTGCCCAAACACCCGGGTCACCTATTTCCAGCAGTTGACATCCTCTCCTGCTTTTGTGGCTTTGGGGGACGGTGCTGCAGAGTGGTTCTCTGTAGCATAGTACTAAAGAACATAGCTTTTAGCAGCATGATCTTAGGCAAGTTACTCGTTGAGCCCGTTTCGCATCTGTAACTGGGGACTATAATTTTATCCACCTCATAGGTTGCTGATATCAGAATTAAATGAGAATTTTAGCTTGACTTACAGCACACAGTTAGGAAATGTAATTATAATAATTTGTTACTTTTTGTCTTTACATATTTCTGGTTTTTTTTTTTCAGCTGTTCTCTCGGATTATGAAAGTGCAGAAGACTCAGAAGTGAGTGTGATAGGTTCTTTTTCCTTTGGTGTAGGAGATGTTATTTTTATATATGTATGTATTTTTTCTTTTGAAAATGCATTTTAAAAACATGTATATGCCACCTGGCTGGCGTAGCTCAGTGGATTGAGCACGGGCTGGGAACCAAAGTGTCCCAGGTTCGATTCCCAGCCAGGGTACATTCCTGGGTTGCAGGCCATAACCCCCAGCAACCTCACATTGATGATTCTCTCTCTCTCTCTCTCTCTCTCTATCTCCCTCCCTTCCCTCTCTAAAAATAAATATATAGAATATCAAAAAAAAAAAAAAGAAAAAAGATGAATCAAATGTTTAAACAAAATGTTTAAAAAAAAAAAAAAACATGTATATGCCTGTGGTTCAGAAGTATCATGACCTGCTTGCTACTCCTTGTGCATTCTTCATTTATGCTTTTGAAAAGCTTACAAATGGTGAAGTTTAGTTAGAGTGAAGGAAACTTGGTGCAGACCTCTTCAGGCCACGTGTGTTACATTGTTTGTAGTTGGTGTTCACCCAATCTGAAGAAAATAAGTTTCTGTATAAGAGAATGAGAACCTGAAGGCCTTCGCAGGACGTATGACAGTTCATTTTATGCTGCTTATATAGTTAAGCCAGCCAGTTGGGGTTTTTGTTTTTTTTGTTGTTGGTTTTTTTTTTTTTTTTAGTGTATCAGAAGCCCTCAGCAGGATTCCAACTGGCTTGTGTTAGAAACATCCCTCAGTTTATAGATGGGACTTTTCTCTTCTATCTTTAGGTAAACATTTCCTTAAGCCAAGCTTTTTCGAACCTAATTGTTTTGATTGGTAAAACTACTAGAAATGCCATCAGAATGGCTATTTCTTGGGATTGTTGAATAGAGTCTTGAGTTCTGGATTTTGGTTATGGAGTTATCTACAGGAAGAATTGGATTGTGGATCAAAGGTTCATTGTATAAATTTTATAGAACCATCACCACTTATCAGACTTTGCATTAAGATGCAACTGTGAACACTAACAAAATTCCTGAATTTGGGATTCTCATGAGTAAGGAGATGAGACACTCAGGCAGTCATAGGAATTGAATAGGAACATCCTGCTGGAGAATAGGGTTAAGTAAGGTGTTAGTTGCTGGGTACTGAATGCATCTTAGGCAGTCAGAAAAGAATAGATGGAAGTTAGAGGGAACAACGGGCATGAAAGCCCAGAGGCAGGAGAGAAGGTTAAATATTTGGAAACTTGTAAGTAGTTTGATGTGGCTGGAACACTGTTGGAACAGGATGGATACATAAAGGCAAATTAGTGAAGGGGCTTACTTGTACTTGCTCTGTGCCAGGAGCCGTATAGGCACTGAATGCCAGACAGACATGGTTTTACCCTCATGGAATGTACATTCTGGATCAGAGGGGGGAATAGGCAGGTAAGGAAATAATTGCAGTGATGTTTGTTAAGGGCATGATATTGGAAGCATGAGGTGCTTCAGGAGTGCAGAGCAGGGGCAACTAACTGAGCTGAGGTTGTTTGAAAGTGCTTGAAGGATGAGTGGGAGATAGCCAGGCGTAGTTTTCTAAGCAGAGGGAAGGAACAGTGGGAAGAAGGTTGAGAAGGGATGGGCTGCATGGTGAGTGGGTGGAATGCAAAAAATTTAGTATGACTGATAGTAAATGATACATCTGAGTCCCAATCTTAATTTATTCTAAGGAAGTGAAAAAGATAATAAGCTTTTAAACAGGAATGAATGTTTAGACTTAAATTTTAAAACTGAGCTTGTCAGATCCAAGGAACACATGCATCAGAGAACCTAGTGGCTAGTCCTCCTGAAGCAGTCTTGCAGAGGGAGGGAAAACTCGGACGTTTATATTTTAACGAGATCCCAGGTTGATGCTTATGCACAGAAACTTTGGGAATTATTATTTTTATAACAGTTGTTTTTCTATGTGATGGTGGAGTTGGTCCAAGGGCTACAGGATTGGAGACAGAAAAGCTAGTTAAGAAAGGTGTTGTGGAAGTCCAGAGGAGTGGTAGGTGTGTCACGGAGTGGAATGATGGAGGTGAAAAAGAAGTGGGCAGAACCGAAAGTTATTTAGGTTATGGAGTTGACAGAGTGAAGTGTTTGATGAAGTGACATATTTTTCTCTCCAGTCAGTGGTAAAGTTATCTGCAAAGAGTAAAAGGGATGTGAGAGATTTTGGAGTGAGGGGTGGGTCAGTAGTCGCTGGAAAATGGAAACATTGGAAAGACTGCAGCCAGTGTAGAGTGTTCAGTGAGGTTGGGTGATTTTGAATTTATACAGCTCACCATCCTGTATGTAAGTGAGTTTGAATGTTATCCTAATAGGAAAGAACTACTACTGAAGGTTTAAGTGTGAATGATGAATTGCAGGTGAGGCAGGATCGGAGGCAGGGAAAGCTGTTAAGAGGTTATTAGGATGGTCCAAGGGGCATGATGGTACCCTAAAGAAGGGACATGGCAGTGGGACTTGCAAACTGTGGACAGATTGGAGAGATATTAAATGGTATTAACAGAACTTCTTGATTGGTTGAATGTGAAGCCTGAATTAAGGAGGAGTCAGAGGGATGCCCAACTTGATGAAGGGTGGTATCCGCTGAGAGTGGGACCATAGGACGGGGAGGTTTCAGAAGGGATAGTGGTGGGTTAAGTTTTGGATGTTTTGAGATTGAGGAACCCTGGGTTAGCTACCAGCCAAATGTGGCTACTTAAATTCATTAAACTTGAGTTAAAACTTCAGTTCCTCACTTTTTAAAAAAAGATTTTATTTACTTATTTATTTTTTTTAGAGCGGTAAGGGAGGGAGAAAGAGAGAGAGAGAGAAACATCAATGTGCGGTTGCTGGGGATCATGGCTTGCAACCCAGGCATGTACTCTGACTGGGAATCGAACCTGCGACACTTTGGTTCGCAGCCCGCGCTCAATCCACTGAGAGTTCCTCACTCTTAATAGCTATATTTTATGTACTCGTTATCCATATATGGCTGGTGGCTGCTGTATTGGACAGCAGATAAGATTTTCATCATCACAGAAAGCCAATGAGATTGTGCTGGTCTGGATTAAGATCAGAGAATGAGATCTGATGTTCTGATTTTCATAGTAATCTATCACATGCTTGCATTTCCTTTTGGTTACTAACTGTTTATACTTAGATACTGCAGCTTACTCTTGCTTATTTTTTTTTTTTAAGTTTGATCTCTTAGTCTACAGGTTAGTTTTTCATCCCTTTCTCTTCCCCACAGTTTACATGTTGGAAAGATTTTGATGGCTGTCCACTCGTGGTCCAGTACAATGTGTTCTCTCTGTCCCTTTGTATTTCCTGCAAATGAGTGTTTTCAGATTCATGAAAACAGTGTCAGCCAAAGAATTTATCTTGAGCAAAACGATGATCACCTAATTTTCTTTCCCTTACAAGTCACTTGCTGTTTTGTCTATATGTACTGAGGATATTTTCTTTAAGGTCCAGTAATTCTACTAGAGTTTCCTTGGTACTGGTCATTCTGGGTCAGTGTTTGCAGATACGAGACGTGCTATTCTGCAGTATGCCATGGGGCTCCTAAATATTCTTTGCTTGTCTTCACTATTTAACCCTTTCTTCTTAGTCTGTTTTATCTTTTCCTTCATTTCTTTTTTATTTTTTATTGATTTTAGAGAGCGAGAAACATCAATTGTTGTTGCACTAATTTAGGCATCCTTTGGTTGATTCTTGTATGTATCCTTACCAGGGTTGAACCTGCAACCTTGGTGTATTGGGATGGTGCTCCAACCAACTGGGCTACCCTGCCAAGGCTCTTTTTGATATTTAAAATATTTTCTTTTCACCTTTTATTTCTCTTGTGGCATTATTGGGTTTATTAACTTTAGTGTTCCTTGTAGTTAGCCTCTATTTGAAATGTTTTTTTCCTTTAATTTTCAGTACCTTCCTGAGTTATTTCATTTCATTTTTGAGTTCTGCTAATTCCGACTGTTCTTTCATGCCTTATATGATTTTCTTAATGTCTTTTAGTTCATTTTGAAACAGAAGTTATAATTGTGATATATGTGCATGTCTTTCTGGCATGCTTTTATTGTCTGCAGGAATGCTATTCTACTTTTTTTTTTCTCATGATAATTTATAGGGGATTTGACCTCTGTATTTTTCTGTTAGTTTTATATAAAATTAGTTTTTTTCATCTCTTAGAAGTGGCTCAGAATAGTTTTTTCTGACTTCACAGAGCTCCCTCTTCTGTTATTTTCCTATAGTGTTAAGGAATATACAGTGACTTGATTTTTGAGATTTCTTGCTTTTATTTCTCTTATTTGTTTTAGTCCTTCGTTCATTTCTTTTTCTTTTTTTTTTTTTTTTAACCCTCACGGGAGAACATGCTTATTGATTTTTAGGTGGGGGGGAGAGGGAGAGAGAGGGGGAGAGAAACATCTGCACAAGACAGAAACATTGTTGTATGCCTCTTGTATGTGCCCTTACTGGACATCGAACCCACAGCCTTTCAGTTTATGGGATGACACTCCACCCAAGTGAGCCACACCAGCCAGTGCTCTTTGTTTTCTTAAATATGTTTTATTGGTTTTAGAGAGAGGGACGTGGGAGGGAAGAAGAGAGAAACATCAATTTGTTGTTCCACTTATCCATGCACTTATGTTGGTTGATCCTTGTATGTACCTGACTGGGGATCAAACCCACAACCTTGGCACATCGGGACCATGCTCTCACCAACCGAGCTACCTGGCCAGGGCCTCCTTCATTTCTTTTATCCCTCTTCCGTTCAGTCTGATTCTCACCTCAACAGTTTCTCTTCAGTGTGGAACCCCATCCTAGAAAGGAGCCATGGTAGCCAGGACAATTTCAAGGTTCAGTGGGGTTAGACTTCTCTAGCCCCAGTCAGACCTCCTTATTGCAGGATCCTTATGCTTGTGTGCTCCCAAAGGCAGTAATTACCTCCTAGTTTCGACCGCTGTCAGTCCTGCGCTCCACTGAACACCTGTTGATTATTTCAGCG